TTTTTTGTTCATTCTGTAGGTATGTGTACGTATTAACCTATAAATAAAAGATTACCGTGTTATACGTCAATAAAAAAATTATAACCGTTTTAATTGCTTTATTGTGTGTGTTTGTATATAAATCAACATATTGAAACAATATTAAACTTTTAAAGTCAGTTTTCTACGATCATTCTAACACTATTATATTTTTAATAATAATATTAGGCTTTTTATGTTACTTAATTGGTTTGAGCGTTTTTGTGTAATTTATTTATGAACTTAACATAAAAGGGAAATATTTCAAGTTTTGCTAATCAACCTCTAAGTCTGACAAAAGCCAATAAGACATAACCCTACAAGAAGTAACAGCACTGTGGATTTGTAATGGTTGTTTTGTGTTTGTTGGTTTGTCTCACTCTAAATGTACAGGAATTGTGAAATTATCAGGATTTAAAGAGACGGACGACTTTGATTTGACCTTCTAAAGTAAGGTAACTCTACCTCAACTTTAGCTCTTAATTTGCATCCTTTTTGACATCCCGCGGTTGTTCAGAATCCATTTACTGTTAATAGAGTTTGACCAGAGAGAACATTTCTTAAAAGTCTAAGTTTTATAGAAACACAACGATATACATTTTTTAAAAAAGTTGGTATGACTATTCACTTAAGTCTGTAAAGTAATATGAGTGAATGCAAATAGGAAAGTAAATGTTTTGTCTACCAACTTATGAGAATAATGTGTTTTCGTTCATGGCAGAGTGTAGGCTGCACTCTTCATTGAAGCTGAACCCCGCTGAACCTCATGAGTTTTGTGGAATACTCCGAGATCGTCCAAGAAGGGGATGTCGTCATTATCTTCCTGGGTCATGAGTCCATGATGCCTATCAAAGTTCAGTCAGGAGCTCAGACGCAGACCCGCTATGGGGTCATCCGGCACTCCAGCGACCTGATTGGACAGCGGTTTGGTTCCAAAGTGACCTGCAGTAAGGGTGGTTGGGTTTACGTGCTGCACCCCACACCAGAGCTGTGGACTGTCAACCTTCCCCACCGAACACAGATCCTCTACACCACAGACATTGCCAACATCACACTGTTGCTGGAGCTCAAACCGGGCTCTGTCGTCTGCGAGTCAGGTAAGAACGCGTCTTTCTTCAGCTATGACCCATCAAAAGGTTTTTATTCAGATTTTTTTTTTAGAGATCTTCAATACTCAGGGTTACAGAATTAGATTTGAGTTGACAAAACCAAACAAATCCACTCAGGCACACTGATCATCTACTTTCTCTGTCAACTCAGGCTTTAAAATTGTACTAAAAATTCAAAGGTTTTCGCATACAGATGAAAACGCCATCAGAAACTATTCCAGTTTACACAGATCCGTGAAAATGACTAAAAACACAATATTATTATGCATGCCTGGCCAATAGTTGGCGATGTGACTTTGTAAAGAAACACTACGTGCCGACACACACGCATTCCTATAGACTGAACACGTAATGCTCATGGGAATGACCTCACTGTTTTCTCAAATTTTCATAGTATACACAGAGAAAATAACTGTATCGTTTTCAAAAACTTGCACTTCTTCAGTGCTCCCCAGTTGCGTATCCAAATTGCCACTGTCGTGTAAATGAATGACCAAAATGCAAAATTTTTGGCTTTAGTTAAAAATGGTGTCGTGTAAATACCTCCTGAGTTCATGGAGCACATGCACATGAAAGCGTGTCATCAGTAGCAAACAGCAAACCAAAAAACACTCAAAGTTGGTGCAAACTAAACTAATACTTATCTGGCTAGCCAGCTAAACTGGCTTCATGCTATAAAATGAAAGCACGTCTCAACATGTAGAAGTAGGCTACTTTCAATTTCAGTTTAGTTTAAAATAAGTTTAGCTTACTTGTCAAGAAGAAACTCTGCAAGTTTGTCGTATCAATAAAATAAAAAATATTCCATCAAATTACATCTTGTAAAACACTGCTACTGTTTTCCCTTGTTTTACCCTGTTGTCTGTCTCTGTGTGTTTTGGAAAGTCTTTGAATTTTAGGCTTGCACTTCTGTAACGGACAATTACTTCACAACACATTTGCATTTTCATTATTCTCTCATGTTGGTAATTGGTCACATGACATGCATGTAAGCAGAAAAAAAATCACATAGGCCTATAGAATGGTACATAAAACCACAAAACAATTTTTCATATATTGGAATTGCGATTTGAGCTGTGATATGACATTTTATCCATAAACTAATTTCATGTCTCGTATTGCTACAGCTGAGACATCCAGAGACAAATAACACATACTCTACTGCAAATGAAAATAGTTACTTTTAAGGATGTTCAGACTTCACTCTTTTCAAGAAACCTATGCTGTAAACAACTGCCCACAAAAATGCTGACAGTTATGTGAATGTAAATAAAATAAAGTGAACCTAGCACACATTGCATTCCCAAATGCACATTAAATTCACAGAGCTTGCAGAGATGGAGTTCGTGAGAAGCAGCGTTTACTGTGAACCGAGCTGCTCTGAAAGCAGTCTTAGAAGCCGCAAGCGTGTAAATGAACACATTGCCACTCTTCGCCCAGCATAACAGATTATATACTTAATTAAATCAGCTTTTGTTTTGAAAATCTCGATTTGATAAGATATATCAAGTTTGTTTTTACTTTGATTAATTGTGCTCCTCCTTGTTTATTTTAATGTTACATTCGTTTTCATTAATTATTGCCTTTTCATCATCTCATGAACCCCTGTTTGGGAAACCCTGGTTTATATCATTGCAAAATGTAAACTGCATTATCGCACATCTCTATACAAAGCTCGATATAGAAGTGTATCCAACCAACTTTATCTGCATACATACGGTATGCTCATGAAAAGTGATTATATAGGAAATATAGATAATATCATGATTATGTAAACTGCTTTGAAACAATGTCTATTGTACAAAATGTAGTTAGGTTGCAGTGGGCAGAGTAGGTTAGACAGAGAAATCTTGATGGAGACGAGATTTTTTGGCTAGTTGACCCATTCAGTAAGTGCTGGGCCTCTTGTATTCTGAATGAATCAATTAAACTGCTGTTGAGCGTACACACACACACACAACACACTCTGCTCTGTCCTCAGTGCCCTCTAAACACATTGAGCTAGATGTGCTTTTAACATGTTGATATCTGAGCAGTGTTCGGGTGAGGCTGACTGCCACAGATTTGGCATATGTCCAGTATTGATGCTTGTTTATCATCATTCAAGGATACTATGGATACAAGGATACTAAAGGACATTTCTTTTGAAACTTTCTGTGTGTTCTTTCTCCCCTGCTGAGCCTCTCATCTTACGTCAGTCATTCAGTTCTATCTGAATGCAATACTGTAGACCGAACATTGACCCTATTGTTGCTATGAGAACAAAAGGCATGCTAATAATGGGGTCTTGAAGAGGAAGATGGGCCCTTAACACCAGAACGTGTTCACATGCACGTGCATCACAATTTACACGCTCTTGCACATGTGACTGCTGTATTTAACTTTAAATTACCACTTTTGTATGCATGTGTTTTTCGCCGATATATCGTGCATCCCTAGTTTATATCATTGCAAAATGTAAACTGCATTATCGCACATCTCTATACAAAGCTCGATATAGAAGTGTATCCAACCAACTTTATCTGCATACATACGGTATGCTCATGAAAAGTGATTATATAGGAAATATAGATAATATCATGATTATGTAAACTGCTTTGAAACAATGTCTATTGTAAAAAATGTAGTTAGGTTGCAGTGGGCAGAGTAGGTTAGACAGAGAAATCTTGGAGACGAGATTTTTTGGCTAGTTGACCCATTCAGTAAGTGCTGGGCCTCTTGTATTCTGAATGAATCAATTAAACTGCTGTTGAGCGTACACACACACACACACAACACACTCTGCTCTGTCCTCAGTGCCCTCTAAATACATTGAGCTAGATGTGCTTTTAACATGTTGATATCTGAGCAGTGTTCGGGTGAGGCTGACTGCCACAGATTTGGCATATGTCCAGTATTGATGCTTGTTTATCATCATTCAAGGATACTATGGATACAAGGATACTAAAGGACATTTCTTTTGAAACTTTCTGTGTGTTCTTTCTCCCCTGCTGAGCCTCTCATCTTACGTCAGTCATTCTGTTCTATCTGAATGCAATACTGTAGACCGAACATTGACCCTATTGTTGCTATGAGAACAAAAGGCATGCTAATAATGGGGTCTTGAAGAGGAAGATGGGCCCTTAACACCAGAACGTGTTCACATGCACGTGCATCACAATTTACACGCTCTTGCACATGTGACTGCTGTATTTAACTTTAAATTACCACTTTTGTATGCATGTGTTTTTCTGATTAGTTTTTATAACAGGTTTTCTGTTATTGGAATATTCATGGTAGTGGACAGAATACTAAACATTCATGTAGTATTTCTGCTATTCTCTTGTGAAAGTACTGGAGATGCTTGCTTTTGCCATTTATTGCAGTCAAGTCCCCTTTATTCATATAGCGCTTTATACAATACAGATTGCGTCAAAGCAGCTTTACAGTGTTAAACAGGAAAAACGTGCTGATAATGCAAAAGGACAATAGAAAACGGTCAGTTTTTCAGTTGGTGTGCTATTTTGCACAGCAACTTGATAAGCTCATTAATTCTAATTCATCTCCTTGACAAAAGCACACAACAGTGCAATGAACTGGAAAATGTAGATCATGAGACTGTGTGCAAGACGCTATGGTGTTGTCAGTTCCTCTGTCAATTACTTTTTTCTCGCTAATATAGGTGAAATCGCTCTGATTTTGATTATTTGATTGATACTATTATATACTATCTGAATCTTCTTGTGTATGTAAAGATGGTCTAGTTGCACAGAGGAGGGTATTGACTACATTTATGTACACGTTGTCTAGTTGAGGTCATTTTGTAATTAAGTTTATGCCTTTATTTGAAAAAGATGTTCATTACAGATGTATTCCAGTGACAAGTAAAAATGTAATCACCGGGAACTCTCTTTTTGCACAGATTTCAAGATTGTTTATGGTGCATATTATGACCCACATTTTGATGAACACCGGAATATGCCAGTTGTGGTATTGAGATTTCTAGTAGCTGAAAAATTTGCTTAAAATAGTTCACTCAATGAAGAGAATTGTCATTATTTATTTATTTTCATGTCATGTCATGCCAAACCCATAAGTTTAGTTCATCTGTGAAACACAAATGAAATGAAGAGATTAAAAAAATAAAAAAAACTAAGAGATTTCTGTCCGTCTATTGAAAGTCCAGTTCATAAAAGTAAAAAAAAAAAACTTTGTAAAAGTAATTTAGGCTCTTATTCACACAGACACATTGAACAGTGCACATAACGTAGATTACATCAAATGTGGTGGATTGAAACTCAAATGTGTGTGCTGATCAATTTATATGTGAATAAAAATTAAATGCAAATTATGGAGAAACGTATGGATTAATTTTACAATCTCTTTATAAACTTTTTGAAGCTTGAATATTTTGGTGCAATAGAATTTCAGTGGTGGGACAGAAATCTCTCAGGTTTCAATAAAAATATCTTCATTTGTGTTTCAAAGATTAACCAAAGTCTGGTGAGTAAATTCATTTTTGGGTGAACTATGCCTTTAATATTATGGTAACGAGGTGCATAATTGGAATATGACCAAATTCTGATTCATATTTGGAGTGTCTGAAGCTGTTGCATCATGTGTAGGCATCTAAAAAAACAGGGTAATTTGTATTAATTTTAATATTGAACTTTTAATATCAGTCTAGTTAATATCAAACTCAGACCTCTTATTTCCATGGCTTGTTATCACAGTAGGTTTTGTGCCTGTCTTCCAGGTACAGGCAGCGGCTCTCTGTCTCACTCTATTCTGCGGACCATTGCTCCAACCGGCCACCTGCACACAGTGGAGTTCCACGCTCAGCGAGCCGAAAAGGCCGTCCAGGAGTTCAAGGAGCACAAGGTGTCTCACCTGGTTACTGTTAGAAACCAGGATGTGTGCAAGGATGGCTTTGGCATCACAGGAATAGCTGATGCGGTTTTTTTAGACATCCCCTCTCCGTGGGAGGCAATCACACATGCCAAGAGTGCCATGAAACGCAAAGGTGAGAGCACATAACTGTGAAATAACTAAAACGATATTACCATATTAATGCTAAATGTCATGTGGTACTCTGTCGCCATGACTTATTCCTCACAGATGAAGCCACTGAAATGAGTCTTCAAGTTACAAGATATAAATACCACAGTGACCTTTATGAACACAAAACTTCAGACACTTAAGTGGTATTGGCACAAAAATGTACAGTTTGCAATTACTTATTAAAAGTACTGTGGAAGTGTGGTACTTTGATACAATATATACCGTGGTACTGTATTTACGTGGTGCTCCAAGGTACTTCAAAGAATAACATAGTGAAATAAGGATATATTTTCAAAAGAAAAAACCATGGTGACACCATGTTTAAAGGTGCAGTGCGTAATATCTTCCTTAAAGGGCAAAAACAACAATTTAGTTTAAAAAAAAAAAAAAAAACTAGGGACATTGTGTGGGTATATTTCTCATGAGTTCACAAAAAATGATGAAATAATTCATTTAAAACGTTTTGGATTAATTAACATGTTACATGCAATTGTTTTATGTGTAAATGCATGTAAAGATTATAAGAGTATAATATCAGAGAGGATCTCCTTGCGATCTTTTCTCAAGTCTCTCCGTTTCATGTAAGTGGAATTTTTTCCTCACTTTACACTACACCCCCTCTTGAAGACTCGCAGTCTATCTGATTTGGAATATACACACATGCTGGATGTTTTTGCTGGCAGGGTAATGACCATAAAGGGGCAGGCGGAGAGACTTAAGTGAGCACAGGCAGTGCTCTGTGAAGCTCAAACACACATCTGTTGGCCTCTTTCTGTGTCTTTTGACAAACTGACTTGTGTTGTGCACTACTTATCAGTTTTCAGCACAGAAAAGCACAGCTCTGGCTATGAAAGCTTTGGTTAACTACAAGCCAGTTGTTCTTGACTACTAACATCCTTCTCACTACATATACATCTTATTACCTTGATGCAACAATCAGAGTTTGTAGTGATTGAACTGATTCTTCATCCTATCTGTTTCTTTATTTCTTCTCCTTTTTGGCCTGATAGTTGGTCTTGTTCTCTGGTTTAAGTGCATTGAGAATCCCAGCTGTTGGCGTGACTCCTTTCTTTCCCAGACCCAGTTGCCAGGAGACTTGATGTCTCTGTTTATGACTGTTTTCATGGAAAGGCCTTATTCGTCAATGGAATGACAGCATAAACTTCTCTCTCTCTGTCTTGAAATATACTTCTGTTAGTGCTCTTCACTGAGAGTCTTTATCCATACATCACCCTGTTTCAAATTCTAGAAGCTGCCTGCATAGGCAGAATTTCAAGGCATCAGCAGTGCACTCCAGACACAAAAGCAATTCCAAAAGAATCTAAGATCCTATCTTTTGGCCAAATTCAAAAGGCTAGATTTTAAAACACTATAGGTTGACATTGTAAATAGTTTGAGGTAAATCAAGGGAATCACACACAAGTTGTCCAGAACACAACACAGACACACACAAACAAACATGTGCCTTGTTGCCAGGAGACATGTGACAAATAAAACAATGTTTTCTTGCGTAACATTGGTTCAAAATATCAAACAATGTTTGCTGTCCTCCAATCAATACAATCCCTTAATACATTCCAGTTCCACTGCAAAAAAAGAGCCAGGGCATTTTTAAATATAACTCCGATTGTATTCATCTGAAAGAAGAGTCATATACACCGAGGATGGCTTGAGGGTGAGTAAATCATGGGACAATTTTCCATTTTGGGTGAACTATCCCTTTAAGAAGAATATGGCAAATGTTCCAAATCATTGGTCATTAGTCATATGCAGCAGCCGAGGAGGGCAGTAGACAGCAAGGTAGTTCTTAAGGTTTTGGAACAGAGCTGATATTTAAGCAATTAGCTATGAGAGACTTTATTGTGAACATAATAATGGTTAAAAGGGTTATGAAAGATCATAACCGTTGATGAATTATGAATTTTAGCAGGGCTTAAAGGTATAGTTCACCCAAAAGTGGTAATTCTGTCATTTACTTACACTTATGCTATTCTATACGGTACCTGTATGGCTTTCTTTCTGCTGCAGAACACAAAAGAAGACCGAATTGTCATTTTGGGTCAACTATCCCTTTAACCAATCAGCATCCATGGGCTGAACTATTTGTTTCATAATATAATTTTGTTTAGACACCATTTGTGTTTTAATCTATTTACTTAAGTGGATCCCGGATTCAGCTCCTGTGAGAGTCTTGGCACTTGGATCAGAGAAAAGGTAAACTGAACCAGTGCTGGATTGGTTTCTTACAGTGGTTCCCATTCATTATAGTTCTATAATGAATGTTGAAAGTAAGGGATGGGGTCATGCTGGATTAAGTGAATGTGATTTGCATTGAATCTAAAAAAAGATCCAGAGTGTAAACTACACCCATTAAGGTGTCTTCCTCAATATACTCCTCTCCTCACAGCACCCTCTTACTCTGATCAGCAGTGGCTATTCATTTGCATGTTAGTAATACCACCTTTAGTCCAAATTCCCTCCATTCGTGTTAGGGAAGAAAGATGGCAAAGGAGTGGAAGAGAATCGCCGTCTCAAACACTTAACCACCCTTCCTCCGTTTATCCAGGTTATTATGAGACCGTTTAACAGTAAGGCAAGAATATGCAAACATGAGCATGTCGACTGCTCTCTGACCCTTTACATGCTTTACATGAGCTAACATGTTTCCAGTAATAAGGAACCATATTCTCTACGACATCACTTCCTGACTATTCTCAGCAGGCCTGCATGAAATCTGCGCCCACAGAGGTTGCTGAAATCTTTGCAGATTTCTGTTCTTACTGTTTTTGTTGTTTGAGCAGCCTGACAGAGTGTGACGTAACTATTGGCTCAACCAATGATGTGATTTTTTGGGGTGGGCTTTTTACTGTGGCAGTTAAAGGGTGTGTTTGTGTGTTTGTTTGAAGACAGTCAACGGTTTTGCAGTTGGGTTTGATGCTCCTAGTGAAATACATGCGCTTTGCATCCAATCCACAGAATTCTGCAGATTTACACCTGAAATGAGTGCAGAAAATATGTGGAATATATCACGTCACTGTCTGGGTCTGCTAATAAGTTTAAAACAGTTAATACTGCTTGAGGTTTGTGGATCTACATAGAAAAAAAACAAAACAAGGTCACAGTTGCATTTCCTTAAAAAGCACTGAAAAAAATGTTCTTGTTCCATATTGCCTACTTCAAGTTTCAGGCTTAATTTGACATCGGCCACAATAGTGAACTTCCCTTTCGGGTGTTTGATAAGGTTTTACAAATAGTAACGTTTGTTGCTGTTCAACAGGGAGATTCATTTAAGCTACTAATAAACAGATATTTATGTTTGCACAGAATGTAACACAAGTGCTAGAGATTTGTGTATTCATTCAGTGGTTTGATAAAGAACAGATGCAAACTTGAGGCCAAAGTTAGACATAGGCAGTCACACGGAGATCCAAACATTATTCATGTAAAAGAACAGTTTCTGGGAATTTTCTAAATAATAGTTTTACTCCACTGAGTCCATGAAAGTACATGCTGAAGTGTAATATTCTGATGAAAGTATGGATCCTAAATTTGAAAGTGTACTTTGGTGTTGTACTTGTGTGCACAGCCGAACACAGCCTTTCAAAATATACTCCATTTGATAATGTGTGCAAACACAGGTGCTCGACAAGTACACTATAGGGATTAATTCTTGTACATTGATTGTGCATTTTTTCTCCAAAAGTTGAGTGATTAAAAAGAAATAATAATTTGTATTCGTTTAAACTAGCTGCGTGTTAATCCCCTCTGTGAAGCGATGGCCCAGGTCAGTGTTGCCACTTTGTGGATAAACTAAATAGTTAAAAAATACATCAGATGCTCCGATCGATCGGCCGGAGATCGGTATCGGCCGATAATCACATTTTATGACTCGATCGGTACTCACTACACTTGGCTGATCTCACAAACACACACACACACACACACACACATGAAATTATTTAAAAAAAACATTTAGTTAATATTTGCATCATTTATGATTTATTTGATCCACCCGCGACTCACCCTCAAACAATCAGAATGCATTTTTTATTACCCGACCCGCGGATTATCCGCAGCGCCCGTGGATATAGGAAAAGCAAAATATGTTTGCTGCGTAAATCAGACGGACTTACTGAACATGCAAATTCATTCTCTGCCAGCAGGAGGTGCTTTAAAGCGGGAGAAACAAGTTTCCCCAGTAACGGCTGTACACAAAGCAGCGCTGAGCTCACAAACGCTGCTTTATCAGGCATATAACATGCAAGATTAAATGAAAATGACATTGAAACTTTTCTAAAGATAGTCTTCCTTCAGAATTACAGTGATATAAAAACACCCGGGCCTCGTTTAGATTTTTAAACATGCAGTACATGCTCATGTTTATTCAACGAAGCCTTTTGGAAATCAGTCAGTTTTGATATTGTGGCGAGTGCCACAAGTAATAAATGTATGGGAAACACATCCCACAGCACAACCACCTGAGCCCAACTTCAGTCTACTCATCACCTTCACTTTAACTGCGTTTGTAGCTGGCGCCATAGCCAGACTGATAAACAAACACAGACCGGAAGTTAACTTCGGGCCAGGCGCATGCGTCTATATAACGCTTAAAGCATCGGTATTGGCCGATCACCATGACAAGAAATCGGTACTCTGTATCGGCTGCAAAAATCCTGATCAGAGCATCCCTAAAAAATAGTTAAAAAACATAGTTAAAAATAGTACATAGTAAAACAAATGCATATTTTGTAAAAAAAAAAAATCAAGCTGCGTTTCGCACACTGTGCACGGCATATGCGTAAAAACGCAAGAATATTAAAAAAAGCCAAAATCCTTACATATCTATGGTTCCACCCCTTTCTAGCATTCTCACCTGTGAAAGGTTATCCCGTTTCTTTGGGAATTTAAATCCCGGCGGTTTTTACAACCATCGGCTTTACAGGATTGTGGCATCTTCGAATATTCATTGATTATTATGGTGAATGATGTCAAGTTGACCGTTGCAAGATGGCGGATGCGTCTATGTGCTTGGAGCTGTCGAATGAGGCATCTACTTATACATATCTATGATATTACACTCGTACTCAATTTTTCTAGCCGCGCATATTTTGTACTTTGCATGCTTAGCTTACACATGCGCCTTAAACTTCTTTGCACTAATTAGTTGGCCACTAGGTGGCAACACTGACCCAACCTGTTGCTTTACCATTGTTGCTATTGAAGAAAAAAAAACGGAAGAGACCGAACAACAAATTGCTGTAGATGTGATTTAAAGGCCCCGATATACTTCAAGGGAAATCGAAGAACAAACTGATGTGATGTCATTTCAAACAAAATACGGCCAAAACGAAGTTCGTTTTGTGTTCATTTTTGGAGTTCGAAATGGCTTGCCAAAGTGAACTTTCCGAGAAATTTCGACTGCAAAACAACTTTGTACTACCATTGGTCCATGACAATTACGTCATAGGAGGTGTGTGCTGAGGCTCTGCCTTCTATCACATGGAACCTTTTTCTGGGTTCATTTCGTCTGTCGAGTTTTATTGATTCCCCCTTCCCCGCTGGATTGTGTTCACATGGTGTTTTTTGGTTTTGAACCACAGTATGTTTGCCATCAGAGTGGCAGCTGTTGTTCACTAATGACTGTGCAGGAGAAGACGGTGAAATGGATGGATATCGTTACTTGCTTCTCACTTTTGTACATTGGGTTTTGTTTCCAAAGTGCCAACACAGAACGGCTCATGTGTCTACTTCTCATGAACGTAATGCAAAGGTTCAAAAGAATGTGGGAGTCAGTTTCTGCCGAAGGCAAGAGGAAATGAGATATAAATTCAGTCATGCTTATCTGGAAAGTGAATGAAAAAACACGTAAATACAGTTTGACCAATATTTTTGGGTTTGGGAACATTGGGTTCACATCAGAAAAAAAACATATCGGAGTTTGCATGAACCATACCCCAAATCACCCTTTTTTTTAGGTGGACTTGTGTACGATTTATGGATGCGCATCTGAGTTGAGTAAACAGCATTCACGTTATTCAAACAAACCAAACTAGAGTGAAAGCCCCCTAAAAAGTCAGTCAATAATTAGCTCACTGCTTCTCTTTTCTTCTTGGCTTTGTCTTCAGGAGGTCGTCTCTGTTCCTTCTCGCCGTGTATAGAGCAGGTCCAGAGGACTTGTGAGGCATTATTGGACCATGGCTTTGAGGAGATCTGCACATTGGAGGTTCTGCTCCGTGTGCATGACGTTCGTACTGTCACTCTGCTCTTACCAGACTTCGGACCGGAGCAGGACTCTGCCGACAGCAGCCAGGTGGCTTCAGATCTTAGTCAAGATGAAGTCCCAAACACTGGGAACACCTCTGTGATCTGCAGGACTGCCACACCTCCCAGAGAAATGGCAGGACACACAGGATACCTCACCTTTGCTACCAAACCACGCAACTAGAAGCATAACTGAAGCTGATGGAGACTGTTGTAGAGTTTGAGTATAAATGCAAACTCTCTAAATATCTTGAATGCAAGGACGTCACCTGTACACACCCTTTGTATGGTCTATTTTTATTTTTTTTTAGCTTTATTTAGATAAAAGAATGGTTAACAGCTAGATGGGCTTTTACATTAATGTAACAGTTCATGCTATTAAAAACTCAGTACAGGTTGATGCTCCTTTTTATTTGTTTGCTGCTTTTTTTTTTTTTAGTAGATTGTTTTACTACAATAAATTATATTGGAATGGGAAAAAAAACATCTTCATAGTTTCTTTCTCTTGTGCTGTTTACATGGCAACTTTGTATGACTGTCTGCTGCTGAATGCAACTAGTACACAGATATCTGACCTCTCAGAGAACACAAGATAGAGTGACTTGGAAATTTATGCTCCCCATGACGTGCTTTATTTTAGAGCAGAATGTCAGTCAACATTATGAAAGCTTTTATTGTGGGGTTTCCATTTGTGTTCATTTATGTGGTGATAGCAGTGTCTTGCCACTAGTGCTCTCAATTCAAGGCTGTTATGGCCTGTTCTGTATCTGTTGTGTATGTTACTTTCTTGCATGTGGAATGTAAGATACTGAAGAACAATGTGCCAACATCTGGTAAATGTTCTATCTGAAATTATCTGCTGAGAGCTCTTCTATTTATGGGTCCATAAAAGGCGTTCCTTCTGCAATCTGATACCTTCACGGATGCTGTATAGAGGTGGATTTATTTATTATTCTCTCTCTCTCGCTTGCTCAGTGTGTTATAAACCTTTTGTGCTCTATTTTGGGAAACAGGGAGGGTATGAATCTTACAGTCAGAGATGTAGCTACAAGCTGTGTTTGGAATGGTATACTAGCTTATTGTACATGATATACTTCATACTGCATGCTATTTAAAAAGAAAAAAGTTAAACCGGATGCATTAGGCAATGTTATTACTTTAAACAGTCATAAGCTATACCATCTCATTGCACATTCAGTGGTCAGTTACCATCTTGGAAATTATAAATGTTGATTTGATACCATAAAAGCCTATAATTATTTTCATGTGATGGTTATAAATAGACAGTATTAAAATATGGAGAGAAAAATAATAGTAAAAAAAAACAGTATTATGTTATATATATATATGTGTGTGTGTGTGTATATATATATATATATATATATAT